ATCACAATTTCAATCGCTACATTTAAAAATAGGAATTACTTAAATTTGTTTCTATTCACCTTCAGTTCTTCAGAAAAATCATCGAAAATTTCAGTGGTACGAATGGAATCGGACGCAGAGCATTGCTGTTTTTGATTATCCTCTTCGTCATGATGATATTCAATATCCATAAATTCTTCATCTTCTTTGTCAGGGTACTCGGTAGCATTGGTGATATCAGCATTTAAAAATGCAGTTGAAGACTCGCCAGCATCCTAAAATAAATTGAACATTTATATATTAAATAATTTTACTTTTATGCAGTAAATGGTTTATTAAACAAATTTACCTCATTTTTCTGAAGTCTATTTAATCTTTTCCAAGTTGACAATGGAATTGGTTGCTCGGACTCTGGTTCTAAATACCGTTTATACTTATGTGGTCTCCGATTCGTCATAATCTTGAAATAATAAAAAAAATTAGATACAGAAATAAAATTAGAGTTATTTAAACTATTTTCAATGTAGTGAACAATTATATAATTATATGAAATTATATACAAACAGAAATGTTGAATAATGAAATTTGCTAATGTTTGACAAAATTGTGTGAAAATTATTCCTTAAATCGGAATACGATAATTCAGTTTAATCGAATTGTCTGAATATTAGGTACTTTTAATTTTTATGAAATTTTATTATTTACACAGACATTAAGGCTGATTTAGCCAGTGAGCAGAAATTTGTTCACCTCATTTTAACCTTGTAGTTTTCTGCTTCTAAAAGCAAAATAAAATAGATATCAAAATAAATAGACCAATGTCCATTTATTCAATGTTCTTGTTTAAAAAAAAATAAAAATTGTTTTTAATTAATTTTAAAAATTTCTAAAAATTATTTATATATAACATTAACTTATTTTCAAAAAAAGGTGAAGTAAGCGTCTCTTCTTTCATTCTAACATTTCAAATAAAGCGGTATTTGTATTTGTATAATATGTAATATTTTCTAACCTATGAGAATCTAGTAAAGCAAATTTTTACTTTAAAATAAATAAATATATATATATATATATATATTACTTACTTGGTGATTGTTCAGCAATTGTTAACACAACAAATACAGGACTTATATTAATTCGGCATCAAATTTTTAGTTTATAAGATAATTTTCACTCACAATTTGGAAACTAACGTTGAACACAAAAATGACGTTAAAACGGAAATACACGAACACAACACGAAGTAGGCCTCGGATTACACAGTTGCCAGTCACTGTATACAAACGCAAGTGCGCATGTCTTTTAAATGCACAAGTTGATTTTAAATTCGGAAGAAAAAAATTTTCAAATGCACATTTTGTTGTTAAATAATTATTTTTTAACACATATATAAACTTTGAACATATTTTTAATGTAATTATATCATAAATATATTTCGTAAATAAGTTGTCAATTAATTTTTTTTTAAATTTCAAATTAACGCGCACATTTCGACCAATGACGGTGAAGACGAAGGTGTGTTTAAAGAGAGTAACTGGCAGTGGCAACTCTGCTACGACCACTGCTTTATGTTGAACACGTGATACCGGCTTGTTTTAGAGTCACGATGGCATCAAACAAGCAATAGAAAAAAATTTGTCAGTGTGCTTGTCGGTATTTTTCAATCAAGTGTACTGGTGAAAATGGCTAATAGAAATTCTGTATGTGCTCTAAGTGCTTTGATACGCTATTCAACAGACGGCTCTGAAACAGTTGTTCCAGTAAGTCAAATTTATAATTTTCATCCTAAAAGTGAAAAAGATTTCATTTCTGAGAAGAAGTATAAAGTTTGGGAAAAAGGCAACAAAAAAAATGATCGTCTATTAAACGCCCGAATACTTATGCTTTCTTGTAAGTATATGTGTAATATATATCATAATCAAATTATGTTATTAATTTTTTTTGGATGTGGAAAATTTTAAGAGTTTGTTTTTCATTGGAAACATAAATTTATTTCGAAAAAAATGGAAATGTTTGGAATTTTTTTGCAACATTTTTCAAATTTTCTTGTGATAAAACTTTATTTATTTTACATATTTTTAATTCAGTTGATAGATTTGGAAGCATACTATTTTCAAACTGGCTGTATCTAATTACTAAATTTTTAATTTTTTTGTTGTTTTTTTGCGCAGCAAGGAGAGAAGATTTTTCTAGTAGGTTGCAAGAAAAACTTACTAAAAGGAAAAAGTTTCCCAATAAGCGGATGCTAAGCTTTTCGGAGATGAATGTGAAAATTAGTAAAGCAGCTAAACCTAAAGTAATTATAATATCTTTTTAAACTACAATTTCTGGATTTCTTATAATGAATTTATTATGTCATAATTTTATTTCTCAATAATTTTAATACTAACATTCTTTTTTAATTGACCATTGTTAAATAAAAATTGATAAGATTTATTATTTATGACAGAAAATAAAGAAAAAAGTTAACACGTGCCAGAAAATAGCAAGACAACAAGAAACTTTAGATATCTTAGAGACTCATAAGCGATATCAAAGAAAAAGGGTTTCTTGTCTTTCGGATTCATCATCAGATGAACAGGAAATAGATGGACTAAGAAACGTAAATAATAATAATGATGAAATTTCAAAACATTTGTCGAAAAGGTCGTCTACCGCAATTATGACGTGCGAGGAAGCAAGTTTACATTCAAAACTTGGTTTGTATTTATTATCTCATTTTTATTCGTTGGAATTGACTTTGACAACTATTTAATTAAAATTAATAGTGAACAAAATATTCAATTTTTAATTTTCTTTTCCTTAAAGATAAAATAAATAAAATAAAAAAGAAATATTTCTTATTTATAAAATTTTTTTTTCGTTATGAGACTATTTAATTTCTTTAAAATAAACTTCATTAAATATTTTTTGTATAATTTGCTATAGAATTAAGCTGCTTTTTCAATAATAAAAACATCAATTTTAGTAAGATTAGGTCGTCAATATATTACAGTGGACTCGATTATCCGAACTAATGAATTTTTTATATTAAATTCTTACAAACTTTGAGGAAAAAAATTTTTCAAATTTGCGTGGATAATCAGAAAAATAAAGGTCCAAATAATCAAGTCCCTATTGTACATTAGATAGTAAAGTAAAATTTTTGTTTCAGATGTTTCAAATAGTTCTAATGATTTGCCGAACGCAGCGCAAAGACTAAATTTAACGATGAACTTAAATGGTAAGTGATATTGCTATAAACTTAAAATCACAAGACTAACAACTTTTCATTAATTATTTACAATCAGCATGTTGGTTTTTACTGGTTTAATTGATGTTTGTAAAAAAAAACAGGCCTGGGATGGTTCGAATTTTTCAACTGTTTTTAGAAAAGGCGAATGTTTTCGACTTATTTTCAAAAAATGCGAATTTTTAGACTGTTTTTTTAAATATTGCAACAAAATTAATTTTTTTTAGTATAAAATGCCAATTACTTTGATTTTTATAGTTAAAAATATAACTATTTCAACATTTAAAAATTTATTTTTATCAATTTTTCTATACAAAAATAAAATTTTTTAAAATAATTGAATAATTAAAGTTTCTAAGTAATTGAAATTTTGTTAACTTTTTTGAAAATAATTAATTATCTTCAAGTTTTCATTGCAGTTTTTGAAAATCAAAGTTTGAAATACTTTAATTGTAAATTAAAAAATTTATAAGATTATCAAAATTTATAATGAAAAATCCAAATGAGAATTAATTTATGAAAAATGATATTGAAAAATTATTTTAAAAATGTAATTTTTGACATTTTTTCAATTCTAATTTCTGAAATTTCAAATATGTGTTGTCCATATTTTCCATTCCTACATATTTTCTAAGATTCAAAATATCTACAAAAAAAAGTTTGTATTAAAATTTTTAAAATTTTTTTTATTTTTTAGAATTATTAAAATGTTGAAGAAAAGAATTATTTACTAAATGTTTCATTAAAATTATTCAAAAAAACTGCTTGGTTCTCTAACATGTTTAAAAACTATTTCATAAAATTTTATTAAAAATTATTTTAATTGATTTAAATTATTAAATTAAATTATTCTTAAAATAAATTTTGCAACAATCATCTACAAAGAAGTAAATTAAACTTTACAAATAAATCTTTTTTTTATAAAGTTTTGATTATATTTATGGAAAAATAATGTGTTCACAATTTTGCAAAAATAATGCCTCATAAACTTGATTATTGTTTAATATTTTCGACTCAAAGTCGATTCGAGGCCTGAGAAAATAACAATTTCATAAGAAGATAAAACTATTTTTTTACTATCATTTAATTTCAATTACACAAAAATATAAAGTATTATTATATTTGCAGATTATTCAAATCATTCTAATGATTTGTCCAACGTAACACGTGAACTAAATTCAAACATGGATTTAAATGGTACGTAATAATACTATAAAGTTCAAACAACAAGGCAAACTATTTTGTAATAATCATAGTTATTTATAATTAGTATGTTTTTAAATTGATTTTGATCATGTTTTAAAGAAAATAAGGACTCAGTTTACATTTCTTAAAAGTTGTATAGGATAATACCGCTCTTCTATTACTATATAGCATGTAATTATTTTTAAATTATAAAGTAAAATTATTTTGGCAGAATATTTAAATCAATCCGGCAATTTGCCCAACGCAACAAATGGATTACATTTAAATATGGATTCCAATGGTACGTAGATATTGCAATTTGTATTTTTATATTTTGCTTCTATTGAAGATTTTGAATCCCGAATGGAGACTTTGTTCGGTCATGATTGTGTTTCCATATTAATTTCTAATTTATTAAAATTTTTAAAAGAATAGAAAGTAATGGAATTAATAAACTAAATTTTATTATATTTAATATAAAGACATAAATTAAAAAATAATAATAATCACTTTTTAAAATAACATCTTCTTTGATTTAAGTAACATAAACATTAATATTTATCAATTACATATAAAATTCTGTGAAAAACCAATCAAGACCAATTCGGTTTTCTCAGTCCGCCAGGCCTGTAAGAAATAATTAATTTAGACTATTCTTACAGACGATTCCAATCATTCTAACGGTCAATCTAACGCCACACGTAGACCTTTAGCGAACATCGACTTCAATGGTAAGTTTTCTGATTATAATTTTTTTTATTCCTTTGTTGTTGGTATTAATCGTACCCAGAGAAAAAAATGCTATTAAATGTATAGCATGCATATTCACATACGTTGAAAAGCGGATGTCATAAACATAATTCGACATATATTTCATTTTATTGCATTGCTATTGAATCAAAGAAGACAGTTTTAGATTCAAATGCAATTCTATAAATTTAACTACGTGTCGCATAAAGTTAACTACATTTGCTTTTGAACGTATATGAGTATACGTGCTATAAATTCAATAGTATTTTTTTCTAAGTGTATGAAAAATTTGATAAATCATAAAAAAATGTAATTTTTAAAAATATTAAAATCCTACGTCACTCTTTGGAGAATATATATAGAAGTTGTATTTCAATTTTCGAGTCAATCGGTAAAATATATTTTGAACTATCATACCCCCCATTACAAGAAATTGTATCTTTAATAGTTTCATCAAAAAAAATTTTTATTTAAAACCGTAAAAATGATTTACGTTTAGTGTGGTGTAACCCCTTAATGAATATACAATCTGTTTTGATACTTTTTTTTATAATTTAATTCTAATAACGCTACTTTTTGTGTGTTGAAATCCATCCAACTTTTCATTTTAATTTCAAGTTCTAGAAACGGTCAATAACAACAGGGGGAAAAATATTAGGACAACTGCCATGGAGAGTTATAAGCGTTTCATAGAAACAGAAAATGATAAGGTAAGGAGAAAACTCTTATAACAACCTTTCATGGTTGGCATCATAACTTATATGACTTAAATTTTAATCTACTTTTTATATGGTTTTCATTTCAAGGAAACAAAAGTTGCAAAAATTTTTCTTTCAATATACTTTTTCCCTTTCTTTCTTAGTTCTTTTCTTATTTATAAACATTTTATAGGTACATCTGGGATTAGAATACTACGTTCACCGTGATATTTGGGAACGTTTAAAAAGAGAGCAAGACTCCAAATTCATCAAAGATCTGAGTTCAATTTTTTGGGGTCCTGAAGTATTAAAATTAAGGTGTTTATATAAAAAAAAATAAAAGAAGGAAGAGATTCTGCTGAGCGAAAGGAACTTTCACCCGAAAAATATAAATTATTAGAAGGTAAAGTTATGAAATTGAAAAAAAAATTATGTTTAAAATTTTATTTTAATTATAAGTAGCAAGCTTGTAATTTGCTAATTGTAGAAAGCTTGCTTATAAACTGAGATCATTATCTAATTAATCTATTGATTCTTTTTACAGATTTGTTATACAAAAAACTCACAGAATCGAAATGCACGGGTGCTCCCAGAGAAGCTCGAATGAAACTAATTGGCCATTTTCTATCTCAAAAGATTCGAGATTGCAGAAAGAATCTCAAATTTTAAAAAAATGTAAACAGTTTTAATTTTAATAAAAAAATATTTATTTTTGCCATAATTATTACTATGATTTGACTTACGACCTTATTTTTATTTCAATAAATTATGTTATTTATTATAACTTGAAATTATTTTTATTTTAAAAAACTGTCAAGCATGGAAACTCACTGTGAACTTACAAGAGAACTTGCATGAGGACCCACATGAGAACTCACATGGGAACCTACATGTGTACCGGGGTCAAAACACTAAGTGCGTTCCTATGTGAGTTCCTATGTTAGTTCCAATTTGAGTTCTTGTGTAAGTTCTCATGAGAGTTCACATTTCAGTTTCCATGTGACTTCGCTTGTGACTTCACATATGTAATCTCATGTGAGATTTTTCAATAGGGAAGCGCCACCCAAAGGCACGTACACATGTAGGCTGAATGTATCAAAATCGAGTTGATTGGAAACAGAGATGAGTAAAAGTACTTTTTTGGAGGTTTTCTACGTTTAATACATAAATGACGTATTATACGTATAATACTGTAGAAAACCAGGTTTTCGACATTGTAGCCGCATTAATGGCAACATAACCTCTTTTTGTTATTTACTTTCCGGTTTATTGTTGATAATTAAGTATAAATTAATAAATAAACTATTTAAATATTGGTCAATTGAGAACTTTCAGTTAAGTTTAGTAATTTAGTGAGTACCCAATGGTAAAAATACCATAGGCGTATTAATGGCCCAATAATGGGAGCCAGGGATGCCAATATAATTTCAATAATAGCACCCAATAATGGACCATTATTGGTAAAGTCATGGGCTGTCCACGTCGATGCCAATTATTGGCAACTAATAATTAGCCAATATTAAACATTTTAATAATATAATAATAATATAATATAAATAATAATATAATATAAATAATTATATAATATAAATAATATATAATAATATTTTATTTTTAATAATTAAATTAAAATTAAAAAAATGGTCATCAAAGTATTAGGGAAACCATTTCTTCCAAAAAAGAATTTGTCTCAAATCTAATAAATAGGAGAGACACCGGGTAGAAAAAAATTTCGACAAGAAAAAATTTTCGATCACTGCTTATATACCAATCTTATGGCACCTCAACTGCGAGAAACAGTTATGATGTTCACCCTCCCTGTGGCGTTGAGCGAACTAAAGTCCAGAGCTGAGCCATCAGCGCAGAGCGGAAACATTTGAAAAATTTGATTTTATTCCTTTTTGCTTCCTCGTGGAGGAAGCTATGTAGTCCTTTCGTTTATAAACTTTTTAAAAATGGTGAAAACAAATTTTCCTCTATATAGAAACATGTTATATGAGATCCTGATCAATTGTCCGGATGTATGTATGTGTGTGTGTGTGTGTGTATGTGTGTGTGGATCGTTTTTGTGACCACGATATCTTTAACAGGTTTTAATGGATTTGGATAAAATTTGGTAGGCTTATTTAACACATTAATCTCTCAAAAATGACGAGAGGATTTTTAAAAATACCCCAAAAAAAAATTTTATCGTTTTTTTTCCAAAAATTTTTTTTTAATTGAAAAAATTTTTAAATCGAAAAATTTAAGGTAATATATAATATAATCGTCTTCTTTATGTCAAGATGAATCGATTGATATATATAAAGTATAGATTTGATTGAAATTTAAAGAATTAAAGAAAGTTAAAAAATCAAAAATTCTCATTTTAGCTAAAAAATGATGTGTTTATTTAAATTCATGTTTATATATGAAATAATTTTATTCCCTGCATTGAAACGAATTGGTTGGTATATATAAAGTATAGATTTGATTTAAAATTTGAGAATTAATAAAAATTGAAAAATCGAAAATTCATATTTTAGCTAAAAAATTTTGTGTTTTTTTTAAATTCAAGTTGATGAATAAAATAATTGTATTCCTTGCATTAAAACGAATCGATTCGTATATATAAAGTTTATGTTACACTCAAAATTAATTAAAATTTTCTTTATTTTTCAAAAAATTTAATTAATTTAAAACATTTTTAACTCGAAATTTTTTAAATCAATCAATTGAATTGGACAAATTCATTGCTTCCTTCACGAGGAAGCGAATTTTTTGCTTCACACAATGAGGAAGCATAATGTTTATGAAATAAACATAAAGGACCCCCTCCTTGTTTTATTTTATTTTAAATATGACAAATAATTAACTTAATAAATAACTAATGTCATAAATAATTATTAATAACATAATGTCATACTTAATAATTCGTTAATTAATTATTTTTAACGAAAATTTGACAAAAAAAAATTTGTTGTCCAAAAAAGATATTATCATTAAAAAATTAATTATTAAGCTAATTATTTAATTAATTTTTTTTACAGAGAAATTTTGACAAAAAAAATTATTTTCTCATCGTGCTTTATTTGGGCCACAAATAATTTTTTTAATGAGAAAATTTAAAAATAAGTAAATTTTTCATCGTAATATTTTTTTGTGCTACGTATAATTTTCTGTTAAATTTTTTTACAGAGAAATTTTTACAACAAAATTATTTTTCATCGTGATTTTTTTTAAAAACACGAATAATTTTTTTTCAAAGAAAAATTTGAAAAAAAAATTATTTTCTCATTGTGATATTCTTTTGTGCTACGAATAAATTTTTGGTAAATTTGCGTAGTAAAAAAAATTAACTAATTATTACGGTATTTAGTTAATTAATTGTTTTGGAGAGAAAATTTGATATTTTTTTGAGGCGCATGATTTTTCCCAAAAATTAAAAAGTTCGAAATTTTAATTGATCGCATTACTTTAAGTCGATATTTTATTTGGTCGAAATTCTAAAAGAACGACAGTTATGGAAGTCGACATTTTATTTAGTTGATATTTTATTTGATCGAAATTCTAAATGATTGATATTTAAAGTGGTCGACATTTTATTTGGTCGACATTTTGTTTATTCGAAATTCTAAATGATCAATATATAAAGTGGTCGATATTTTATTTGGTCGAAATTTTAAATGGTCGATATTTTATTTAGTCGATATTTTATTTGATTGAAAATCTAAATGCTCGATATTTAAAGTGGTCGACATTTCATTTAGACGATATTTTATTTGGTCGAAATTCTAAATGATCGACATTTAAAGTGGTCGAAATTTTATTAGTTCGATATTTTGTTTGGTCGATATTCTAAATGATCCACATTTAAAGTGGTCGATATTTTATTTGTTCGATATTCTAAATGATAGAAACTACATTGACAGGAAACTCGTATAGCTAAAAAAGTGTCGAGCTTTTAAAATATCGACCAAATTAAATTTTGATGGATATAAAATTCGATGCTTCTAAATTTCAATCATTTAGAATATCGAACAAATAAAATATCGACCACTTTAAATGTCGTTCATTTAGAATATTTACCAAACAAAATATCTAACTAATAAAATTTCGACCACTTTAAATGTCGATCATTTAGAATTTCGGCCAAATAAAATATCTAACTAATAAAATTTCGACCACTTTAAATGTCGATCATTTAGAATTTCGGCCAAATAAAATATCGTCTAAATAAAATGTCGACCACTTTAAATATCGACCATTTAGATTTTCGATCAAATAAAATATCGACTAAATATAATGTCGACCTTCATAAATGTCGGTTATTTAGAATTTCGACCGAATAAAAAATCGACTGAATAAAATGTCGACCTTCATAAATGTCTATCATTTAGAATTTCGATAAAATAAAATATTGACTAAATAAAAAAACGGCCACTTTTAATATCGATCATTTAGAATTTCGAATAAATAAAATATCGACCAAATAAAATGTTGACCATTTTAAATATCGATAATTTAGAATTTCGTTCAAATAAAATATCGACTTAAGGGATCTACCCACTTTAGACACGCTAAAATGAAGGCTGTTTTCAAGAATTTTTCTAATTGGTTTATATTATAAATATTGACATATAAGTTGTTAGATTAAAGAAATACACTTCCGAAATACATGAAAAAATTTTTGTTATTTTTTTTTTTAAATTTTATATGCATGCAAATGGTAGTTGAAAAAAAATCCCCCAAAAACGATGGGTCCACGCTGTTGATGAAATCTCTGACATGGATTGTCCGAAACCAAAAAATCAAAAAGTTTTGGATTCAGTGTGGTAATAGCTATTGCGCATATCAAGGAATTTTTTATTTTTACAAAATTGACAAAATGGCGGACATTTTTCGAAAAATTAAAGAAAACCGTGTGTTAGTTTTTTCGAAAAATGTCCGCCATTTTGTCAATTTTGCAAAAATAAAAAATCCCTTGATATGCGCAATAGCTATTACCACACTGAATCCAAAACTTTTTGATTTTTTGGTTTCGGACAATCCATGTCAGAGATTTCATCAACAGCGTGGACCCATCGTTTTTGGGGGATTTTTTTTCAACTACCATTTGCATGCATATAAAATTTAAAAAAAACAAATAACAAAAATTTTTTCATGTATTTCGGAAGTGTATTTCTTTAGTCTAACAACTTGTATGTCAATATTTATAATATAAACCAATCAGAAAAATTCTTGAAAACAGCCTTCATTTTAGCGCGTCTAAAGTGGGTAAACCCCTTAATGTAATTCGATCAATTCAATTTTCGACCTTTTTAATTTTTGGGAAAAATCATGCGCCTCATTTTTTTTTTCAGAGAAAACTTAAAAATAATTAAATTTCTCATCTTGATATTATTTTTGTGCTACAAATATTTTTTTGTTACATTTTCGTAGTACAAAATTAAGTAACTAATAATTACGTTATTTAGTTAATCAATTTATTTACAGAGAAAATTTGACAAAAAATTATTTTCTCATCGTGATATTTTTTTTAGCTACCAATAATTTTTTTACAAAGAAAATTTTAAAAAAATTATTTTCTCATGGTGAAATTTTTTTAGTGCTACGAGTAATTTTTTTTGTTAATTATATTCTCATCGTGATATTCTTTTAGGTCACAAATAATTGTCTTGAAAAAATTTTTTTTACTACGA